CACACAGGCACCAGGGGAGCCATGAACAAGGAGTCAAAGAGTCCACCAAGCAGCTGGAGAAGCCACCACAATGGTCAGGTCAGGTGTGAGTATGACTTCCTCAAAGGTTGTAGCACTGTCATCCTCCTGTTTAGCTTGCCAAAAGCTCCATCGCTGCCTCATCATGTGGTACTGAGGAAAAAAGTTCCCTTTCAGCACTAAACTTTGCTGCAGGTCTTCAGTCTCTCACAGGATGGGGGCCAACACAGACCTGGGGTTCATCTCTTAGTTGCTGCCCTGCTTTGTGTCAGACTGGAGGGTACTGGCACAGGACTGGGTTCTGGACTGCAGCAGGGCCATGCAGGGTTACTCTGGAAAATATGCACACTGATACTTTGTTCATCTAAAGCTGAAGTGGTTGGTATGAAAGAAAATAGCTTGTGGTCTTCATACCTCGAGTCAATGAATTCCTGGGCCTTTTATAGCTCAGGAATGCTGGGCACTCGTGTTTGGTTTTACGAGGCTTCGAGGCTGCAGCTTAAGGTCTGGATGAACATTAATCACAGCGGCACGACGGCAGCTGCTCGTGTTTTGGCCCCTCCCTCAGGTGGGACTGCGCTGTGGACACTGTGCCCTGCTTTCCCCACTTGCTTTGGTTTGCAGAGAGGGGGGTCACCACCTTCAGGCTGACTTACCTGACCCACAGTGGTCGAGGAACACAGCGGGGTGCTCAAGACCAGCCCGGTTTGTTGGACTGCATCCAGGCCCCAGACAGGGGATCCTGATGACAAGCAGGATCGTGGCAGCATCCTTCCTGCCAGGGAGTGAGATCTGAACTTTTTATGTTTCACTGCAATGTACTTTAAGTCCAGACCCAGAGGGTATTTAAAGATGTGTGAAATCACAGCTTTTTCCCAAGAATGCACCTCACTGCTGTTTGTATGTTTGCCCCTCTCAAACTTTGGGAGGAGAAAAGCCCTGAAAATGCTAACAAACCAGCACAGAAGAGATGACACAGCTGCACAGTGCACGGAATCCAAGTGAATCCTGTAAAGGTCCTGTCATTTTGGATGGGACTAGATTTTTGAATGCTTCTTAATGGCAATCTTGCTAATATTTTTAGCTCTTCTGAGCTCCTTCTTTACACAATGCAGGTCTGTTACTTACTTTTGGAATAATGAACTTTAATGTTTAATCAAACTGACTCTGTTTGCTTCTTTGCATGTTTATTCCTGACATTAATATGCAAAATATATTTAACTTGCAGTGTTACACTGACATTCTGGTTTTTGGCCAGAGCATCTCTGGTGAAGACACAACCCAAAAATGGAATAAGCCCCTTCCTTGTTGTATCTGAACACAGCTGGCCATGAGGCTTTTCCCATCCTTATATTGGTTTGGCCTCTGTTAGTTTCCTTTTCTTCCATCTTTTTGGCATGTATCTTGAAAAACAAGATACATGCGAAATTTAACTGTCAAATCTTGACTTGAAGGAAGTCAAAAAGCCACAATCTCAGCAATCACCAAACTTTTGTTCTTGGCACAAAAAATACCACCAGCTGCCATATCTTGCAGATGGAGTGATCAGATAGGTCAGGCCGACCTGTGCTTGCATGAGGAGCGCAGGGTGCTGGGATCTGGGTCAAGCAAACTTCTCTTCAAGCTTCTGCAACCCTCCTGGATCTTTGCTAACACACTCCTGCTCTGGACAGGTTGTTTCTTTTCAATTGTGCAAGGATCTGGGGAGAGAAGGTTGGGACAGGCAGAGAACTCATAGGAGAGAGAGGCCCTTAGTGGCATTCATGCCTTTCATGCCTGCAGCTCGCTGGGACCTGATTCAGGAATTTTTTAACAGACACTTTCAAGAGCATGTGAGAGCCTGCTGAGCAAACCTCCCTAACTCAGAGCCAGACACTTGGCTCACTTTTGCTCCCTTCCCCCCATTTATTTCAGTTGCATAAACAAACATAGGAACAATATTTCCACCAGGCTGGAGCATTCCCCTTGCCAGCACTACAGCATGAAATGGGATCTGATCCTTATTCCTTACTGAGCACAGTGTATAATTCAAGAACATCTAGATATAAAAAATATTTAGGTACCTCACTCACACTGATCCAACATCTGTCAAATAAAGAAGCCCCAGACCCTCAAGAAAAAATAAAATTTAAAAAAAATCAGTGTGAGTTCTATGCTTAGCAGGAACATAGGCCTAAAAAATATTAATATCTTCATCAAAGTATCTCATTAAGTTTCCCCTCTCATTTCCTTCCAGTGAAGACAATCTCACTAAAATCATATCTCTTCTTGATCATCTCTAAAATCATGCTCTTCTTGCTTGGGCAAGCTCCCAGTTTGATCCTCTGCCTTGGAGACCCACAGATGTCATGCCCACTTACACCTACTGGTGTCAGCTGCTGTGGGGCCTTTCATTAACACCTATGAAAAATGGAGAAGATGCAACCTTAAAAGTCCCTGAGGCATCCCCTCTTAGTCCTAACACATTGTTTGCAAAGCCTCAAGAATTTTTTTTAAGTTCTTTCTTCTGGAGGACTGAATGTATTCACACTGGAAAAGTGAGAAAATAAACATGTTTATACATTTATTATCTACAATAGTAAGGCACAAATTTAAACAGCAAAGAATAAGAAATCTTTGGCTGACCAACAATATCAACATTTGCTGGGGGTGACACATAACATCCTTCATTTCCCCCCCTATGTACAAATAACCCTCCAGCTGTAAAACACTGTACACAAACTTCTCTATACAACCAACAGCAATAAAAAATGACGGTATTTTACAACTAGTTACCACTGACATCACCTGGAATGGCTACAGCACAGTTTCCCAAAAACACAAAACAGTTCAAAGAGCTGGGAAAGCCAGCACAAATGGAGCTGGGCCGCTCTGCTCAGCGGGGCTGACATATGGCAGTAGTACTCCATCCAAGTCCTGCTAGTGCTTGGGCTGGAGGGAGACACACCACTCCTCCAGACCTTCCCTCCAGGAAAACTAACATCTCTTGAGCTCAACAGAATTGGTGAGAATTTGGTTTATTTCAGCTGTTGCATACACACTGTCTCTAACAGTTTCCTATATCTGGGGCAGCATCAAGTGTAAAGCCAGCTTTGGATAGCAGCACCTGGAGAGACTGTGGTCTCCCCAAGGAGGAGTGCTGTACTCTAGCTGACTTGGAGAAATCGAGCTGAACCACTACCAAACATAACTGAGAGCTGATCCATGCTGATCCAGCACTGTTTCTCCTGGACACCTCACTGTCTGCCTGCACACAATTTACTGAAGAGTTTCAGCAAAAGAAATATTACAGCTGGTAACAAAATGTTTAGGGACTTCCAAGCACCTGGGTATCCTTATTTCTTGGATAAAAAGTGATGCCATTAAAAATGCACCAACATTTTACTTGTATTCCCTTGATTTGTCTTTCTCTTGCCCCATTCCTACTCCAGATGCTTGAGGAAGAGCCACGAAAGTGGGTCAGTGGTGATGTCACACACGGTCCCGGCTTTTATGCAAACAATTACAACGTTTAAATTAACTTTAGAGGGGAAAAAATTATCTTACAAGGCATATATTAAGCTGCATAACATCTTCCAAGGGTTTTACACCTTTGGTTTCACAATGCAAAGCTGCTAATACTTGAAACACACAGTTTGCTTCCTGCACAACCTACCTACCACTACTTTGTTTAACAAGTGTGAAACTCAGAAAGAGGGTGACAACAACATACGTCTAATTCTAAGTACACGCAAAAATAAGTGCATAGCTTTACCATAGCAATTTTGTTCTTTTTAAAAACAATAGGTATCAGCCAGGCAGTACTGAGCACAAGGCTCTGGCCTGTGAAGGCTTTGAGTTCACAAGGGCTTCAGTTTTTGGCAAAAGCAGAGTTTAAAATGTCTGGTGTTCTCAACAGTCAAGGGCTCTGATTTGTCGCCTACGGGAAGAGGTGACCTCGAGCCAGCCCTGAGTGCACGATTACTTCTAGCACCCATCACTTTTCCACTCTGGGTAGCTTCACATTAAATCCCATTGCTCCTTTTCCCAAAGTCAAGCTCTCCTTAAAGTGCACCACAAGCAGGAACTGCAAAGCCAATACAGAAATGCCTCGCAGAGGAAAATTTCCCCATCGGCATGTGCAGCGCACGAAGCCACGAGTAACACAGTGGGTGAGCTGGCTGCCTCCTACTGAATTCAGGGACTGAATTCAAGGCTGAAAATAAGAAATGTTCCACCCTGGGTAAAATAAGGTGAAAAGAAACCGCAGCTCAGCACAGAAAACCCATGATGCTCACGTACTGCTTTGCAGTTAAACCCTTCCCCGCCTGCTCCTGTACTCCTTAATGTCTAGTCCCACAACAGCTTAAACAGCAGGTTGGTATGCTCAAAGAAGCTAGGATTTGGCTATAAGAATTGAAAGTAAGGAAAAATCTTGTTCTTACCACAAATACACTGATTCTTCAAATACGATGAACCAGTGCCCAGAAAAAGGTATCTTCTGATCTCACATGGCAACCCAGCTTAACTCCTCTAAAAACAAACCCATGCAGCTCCCCTCTGAGGGAACTCTATAACTCACAGGCCTTTAGGGAGCTGCTGGGATCCTCCCCTAACTTTCCCTCCTGAAACTTTCCTATGGTTACAACAGGGTTTGCTTCAGCAGGGTCCCCCCTCCCCCTTCTGCATTCATCCACCAGGAGAATTCCAGCCAACAACTGCTCCTATCAAAAAAAGAAGTCTCAGCAAGCTCTGAGGTTGCAAGACATGAATATTTGTACTGTAAATTCAGCTCCAAGAGAAACACTTGTCCAGCCAGGAAAGAGGCACCTGACCTGCCTGCCCAGGAAAGCCACACCAATGCTACTTCAAACAAATACTTACAAGAACCTGCCGTGTACATCTACAGACCAATTATTCACAAAAATTAAGAAGTGAAATTTTTGAGACTGAAACCTTTGAGAAATGCATTGATATGGAGAAGATGCAAGTTTTTCCTGGATTATTCAGAAACTTTCTCTGGCCTCCAAAGAGACAGGATTTCACTCCCTGTCCTGGTTGGTGAGGCAGGAAAACAGAGCAGCAGCGTGCAACCAGTCTGTAACTTCACTACTTTCTCTTTATGCCAGAAAACACAGTTTACTTTTTCCTCAACACTCCCCTTCTCACACCACTTTCCATTTTCAATGACCCCTTCTGTTCAGAAAACGTCAGACGTTCATTTCATCACTCCTCTTCAGTGCTCTTGACTTCTCGCCTGGTGAAAAGTCTCAACGTGTCAGACTCTAGCTTCAATTTGGGAATAAACTTTGTCTTTTTTCACACTCTCAGGGTTAGTTTTCAAGGTTGGCACACCGAGGACCATCTTGGGCCTGGCTGTACACACACAAAACCCCAGAGATGCTGTCCTCTGCTCAGATGAGGACTTCCATCATGTCTGTGTCTGGAAACTCAGGCTTGTGGAGCAGGCTGCTCACTCTGCCTTTGCTGTCAGGCAGCTTCCCATGGCTGGAGTTCTCTGCAATGGAAAGAAGGGGAAGTTGGTCTTCAGTCCAAATTCACGTTGTTCAAAGCAAATACCAACCCATTCCTTGAGGGTGGGGCATGTATTACCTGTACACCCTACATACTGAAAGCCATATTTGTTTAGGACACTAAGAACGTGTGATGCTGAATTCCCCACACAACAACACCAAGTGTGTCGGTGTGCACAGACCCTGAGGTGGTATTTAAGAGATACACATCAAAGAATCTCTTTAGCTAAAACCATAGAATAGTCTGGGTTGGAAGGGATGCTAAAGACCATATAGGTCTGTGATAGTCAGCCCTTTTAATGATACATAGCATGTTTCTGAGAGGAGATGCTTTTGAGAGGAGATGAATGTGTAAGAAACAGGCTCTTTCAAAATAACATGCATAAAATAAATGTCTCCTCTGCTAGGACTGCAAACCAGCAGTTTCCACCCTTCAAAAATAACTAAAATTGTACTTCTTCACCCCTCCTAAATAAAAAAGATCTCCACTTTCTCCTTACTATTGCCCCCAGCTTTTCTTTAAAAATTAGGGAGAAAATGGTGGTTTAACCAACCATGGTTTCAGTTGAAAAAAAAGAGGAGATTTTGAGCAGGTGGGGAGAGTTTTCAAGGTGTGAAATTCTAAATTTTATATCTAGCAGCATAAATATCTAGCCTGCCACAGACGAACGGAGCTTTACAGAAGCTGCTGAGCACAAAGCTCTGCAAAGCCACCCTAGCAGCCCTAGAAAGTTCTCTCTCTACAATTTTAGTTTCCCTGAAGAAACCTCCACCATACCTTATGAACTGTGGCAGCATTACATACCCACACCTTGCCCCCATTAATACTGATGTGTCTCTGGGGATTGCTGATACTCCCGGGGTGGGGGGATGCTGACATTTTGCACTGACAGGGATCTGGCAGAGCTCACCCAGTTTCTCGCTGGCCACTCGTGTCCCCAGGGGCCGTGGGGCTGGGCTGTGTGACGGGGTGGCACCCAGGCGTCCCCGGCCGGGGAAGGAGGCAGTGGCGGGCCAGAAGAGCTCCGCGGTTTTGTCCGTCTGGGTGCTGCTGTCTTTGCTGCCCGTCTTTGCGTGGGAGGCTGCGGGCACTGGGACGGGCATGCAGGACAAGGAGGGCAAAGGAGGAGGCAGAGAGGGGCCTGATGGGTGGTCATGGTGCTCCTTTCCCAAGAGCAGCCCTGAAAACACAGAGAGGTCAGTCACATCCTGGCTCAAATGCATGTGCTGTCCCCCATCCCACCCCAGAGCTACAAGATGCTGGGTATGGCTCCAGTCATTTCGTTTGGCTTAGCTTTTCCCCTTGATGCTGCTTTTTCTGGCATCCACATGGTACTTTCCTACAAATCAGCTTTTTGAAAGCAGCTTCCCCACCCTGCCTCGTCCACACCCATCCCAGCGGCACTTACTCCCAACACTGCCTTGCACACCTCCACACCCCCATCCTATGTGGTCCCAAACAACAGGCAGTCCGGCCCTGATTTTCCCATTTATCTGCCACATCACATCATGCTGTCCTATCCAAAGGGATTCTCACCCTCTTGATTAACTTTATTCAGGCTTTATTTCTAGCCCAAATTTGTTATTTACTCCCATAAAGTTACAAACATTTGTGCTTGTATCTAGGAGGCCTTCCCTCAACTATGGCTTTCTATAATCAGTGCAGAATGATTTAATATGATTTAAAATGTAATTAAGATACAGTGCAAGGTTAAAGAATTACTGTTTTTTTTTACTCAAGCACAATGACACACATCCTGCCCACAGAAAGTGCTCTGGAAATGAGCTGTCAGGTCAATGTGTGCCAAGGCACTTTGGCAAAGCTCAAGCAGAAGGATTAGCATAAAGTGATGGATGAACTAAAGCAAAAGCAGAACTCACCTATGCTTCCCTTCCAGAGCTTTTCCTCCTTCCTCTCCTCAGCTATCTGGTTGCTGGTGAGCGAGGTCTGGCGCGAGTGCGCGCCGGCAGCGGCGGCGATGGAGGGCACGGAGCGAGCCGGCCGCAGGCTGGCGCTGTCAGCTTTGCCAGGGTCCTTCCGCGACCGCTGCTGAAGGACCTTGATCATGGCATCCTTCTCAATTATTTTGGCGTGGAGATTCTTTATTCTGCCAAAATATGAATGTTCTGCTTACAGGAATGGAAAAAACATTCATATGGGCAGGTCTCCACACCTAGAGGCAGCAGGAAGGTACCCAGGCAAATGCCCTGCTGCTCTGTCCTCTCTGCTTTTGGATACTTGGGCAAGACAGCTCCCAGCAGTTCCTCCAAGAACAACCATGCACTTCAAAACAGACAGCATTTCTAGCTATTAAGCCAAAACCTTTCTGCAAGGTTAACTGCACCCATCTATGCTATGGTTTGACTAACCCAGCAGGAGCAGTGGGCAGTATCCTGACCAGGCTGCACATTGCTACATTAACAATACAAACACATAGGCAATTTTCACCCCTGTAATGCACTGGGGCCAAATCTGGAAACTATGCTTTGGCAGACTGGGTTAACCGCAGGATTCAGGTCTGTTGTCAGCTGGAGTAAAAAGACCTGCTGAAGTGAGTTCCTTTTGGTTTCTCTAAGAGGTGGTCTGGGCTCTTCCTTCTCCCTCACTGCTGCAAAAACAATCAGCACAATGGTGTTCAGAGCTGGGTAAAGCTTGCTACAGACCCTAAAGACTCTCAAATCACTAAAAAAATGAGATTATCTGAACTCTTCTCCAGGAATGATTAGCACCAAATCATACTGAACAACTACAAAACTATGTTTTTCAAAAATCTGTACACTTTGACAGTCAAACTACTAGCCTGACCGTGTCATACAATATATAATACAATGCAGGTGAATTTTGTGAAGCAGTGAAAGCATTAGTTTTCATCATCACATGTTTAATGAGCAATTTAAACACAAGATGTTAATCTATATTAATGAAGGCAGTGGCAAAACTCCACTACTTCCTTGGAAGCAGGATTACCTTGCATCTGTGAGTGAAAAACAAAACCCAAACCCAGTAAAAACAATCACTATTTTCCACAGCAACAAATACACATTTTTTATAAAAGTGTCTGCAAATTTGTGTCCTTGCATGCCAGACTACTTTTAATAGTGGAACAGCCTCTGCTTTGTAAAAATGTTGGGTTTGCCACAGAAGGCTTAACAGGAAGGTAGGGAGGAAGTTATGACAACAATTCTTTAATCCCTGTTTGAATGCTGAAGAGCAAAACTAAGTCAAAGTGAAGCCAAGCCCATCCTTTCCAGGCATGTCGGAAGGAACAGAAGGGCATTCTGGTTTATCTGCACCCAGTCCCAACCCCCCAAGAAGCAGGAATGGCAAGGCATATCCCTTACGTGTACTCCATGTCCTGGCAGCGGCGGTTGGCTTGCACGATCTCCTCCTCCTCCTGCCAGCCCCGCACCTCCAGCGCCGTCTCGCCATAGCTGCCGTTGTGCGAGTGGCTCGGGGCCGAGGCATCCCTGGCAAAGGGTTCACCACGGTCAGTCAGGCTCCTGAGACTGTGAAGCTGCCTTTTGCAAGTGGCATTGAAACTTGCAAAGAAAACCCCAAACCCATGTTCAAAGAGCAAGCCAGGAATGCTGTCCATCAAGCGGATGGCTACCTGGCATCGGGACATCCTGGAGCAGGCTACTCTCAGCTTGGGCTGGGTCATTAATGCCATTTATTTAACTGGGTTAAAGGAACAGAGAGCATGCTGGAATCATGGGTGACCCACACAGGGATAACAGCCACCCAGAAGGACAGGGTCAGACATCAGAGGGACCCATGCACCAGATTCCCAGTCAACAAGACTACATCATGAACCAGTAACAAAGCTCTACGCTTTGGAAGTTGAAAAACAGCGCAGTAATTGCTGCCTAGACTGGAGTGCAAAAGGAACGTCCATCCTGACTCACATATCTAAACACATTTCAAAGGGAAAACTCACTTTAGGATGTTTCCTGGGGATTTGGTTCCTAAGAAACTGGGTTGAGAAGTTAAGTATCCCATCCTCCTGATCACTGGGAAGTGTCACTGCCTTTTGTACTTTTGGCCACCACGCTTTGACACAGACAAACTGGAGACAGATATCCAGACATACACAATGTGAAAGGGAAAGGGTTTACAGGAGGGCATGTCAGGAATGGCTCAGGGGAAGAAGCTAGTTCAGACCAGGGAAAATAGAACAGGGAATATCTGTCTTCCTATATTTACAAGGCTGTTTAAACATCAACAGTGGTCATTTGTTCATCCTGTATGCCTGGGAAAGACAAGAATCAATGCAGATAATTGGCAGTGAAGAAGTTTAGCTTAGCTATCAGGAAAAACATTTTAGTTGGAAGATTAGTGAAGTGGTGAAAAGGGTTATTTAGGCAATAAAATTTCCCTTACTACATGTTTTTAAAACGAGGTTAAACAATCTTGTTGCAGGCCATGGGATGGGTGCAGCTATATACCACGTCCCTGCTCCCTCCACCAGGGTACTGGGAGGAGCTGCCTTACCTGTGCTCTGTAATTTGGCACCTTCAGACTCCCAGAGGCCATTGCTTCAATCTGATGCCTAGATTTGATAAGCCTTTGGACCCAGTCAGAAGGACAAATCCTGTCTCAAGCAACTATTCTATCTCACTGGCATGACACCCAGGAGAAGTGCATTAACCCAGGCAGTGTGACTCAGCAGGGCAAGGCAAGCATCATCCAGCCTTAAGAGAGCACCCATTCTGTACTATTTTGCCATGCTGTCCATGTGAACAGAGCTGCCTGCTTGCAGCAAGGCCATCTTACCTCTCTGTGGCAGCTGTGGCTGCAGCGTTCATGGCAAAGTGCCGGATCGTACTCTCCTCCAGGTACTTCTGCTCCCACTTGGTCATGTCAGCTTCCAAGGCCAGGATCCTCTCCTCCTTCTCCCGCACCAGCTCCATGAGGGCCGGGGCATTATGCTCTGGAAGGCTGCTTGCCTGGTAGCTGCCCTGCCTCTGCCAGTGGAAACAGTGACAGATATTCATGCCCCAGCAAGCATGGCATGCTGACCCTTTTTTCCTCAGTTTTCTGGCACATTCAAAGACACCTCCATGTCTTTTGACAGGGGCAGGTGGAAATCCCAGGCTAAATCCCTTAGCTTGCAGGAGAACTGGCACATTGACCATATGTGCAACCCTAGCACAGGCTTCCCCAGACCATGCTGACAGAAGCAGGGATATTGCAGCTACCCTGGATGTGTAGAGATTTCCTGGGATAACCCAAGCCAAGGGAAAAAGTAGAAAAAAAAGTTGATAGGAAAAGAAGCAATGAAGCTTTAAAATACATTCTTCTTGCTGGGACTTCATGCCCACGGCTGGGCAGTGCTAAGTATGAACAGGCAGTTATTACCAGAGGGTTTATATATTAAAGCTGAAAAAAAGCACCTTGTGACCTAGTTACATGTACCCTGTTTAAAACAGCAGCTGGGAAAATATCCCAGCCATGCATTTAAGCTTGTTCCTTCTGGCACATTAGTTCTCTTGTGCCCTCAGGGGATGCTTTTCATGGTGTAACAGCTAACGTTCTAACTAGAGGGGCAGAAGATTCCCAGGCACCTGTGGGGTGGCTCCCATGGGATGCTGACAAGCAGCAATGGGTGCACAACTCTTTCCATCTATGCTGCAAGAAAAGTGCTTGTCCAGGCAGGATTTATTCCACCCAGTTACAGCACTTTAATTTAAGTCACCTAAGCAGCATGGGTAGCTACCCTGAGCTCCTCTCACTGCTGATAGGGAGGCAGAGGGAGATCCAGTCCTTGGCTCAGCAGAGGGATGAGTGCACAATGAGGGGAGAGGCATGAAGCTCTGGGAGAACACAGTAGAAATAAATTAATTTAAAAAATGCAAGAGATTTGTTATACTCCATGGTGAATGGTATTGTGCTAAAGAGGAAACTATGTCTCAGGAGCACTGGCTTCTCATTCATGCTGCACCTTGAGGTTCCACTGGCACAGCTGTACCACTGAAACTAGAGATACCAGGAAAGGGCTGCAGCCTTTGCCTCTGGTGCAGTAACAACATGTTTGGAAGATGCTTTCTGGAAATGCAGTATGGAGCAGCCCTTGGGAACAATGGCTGTGACTCTGCTCCTGCAAAAATATTGTCATACCTCTGTCAGGAAGGTAGTATTTTGGAAGTGTGGTCCTGATTTACAAATGGTATCCTGGGACATCACAGGAGCTTGTAATCTTCTGAGTCAAAATATCTGCCAGCCCTGCACACTGAGCCTGCAGTGCTGACTGGAAGGGCTTGTTTATTGTTCCCAATTAGTGTGTCAATGATAAGGAAGATTTGCCATTTGGACTCAGCTACCAGCAAGCCAGGGACAGAAGAGATTCTGGTTCACTGTCTCTTTGTGTGCTGGGTCCCTTCTGCTCACTCTGGTAAAAATGAGAAAAGAAAATCACCTTTTTTTCTCTGCAATGAGAAAATGTTTCAATAGCTATAACTTTGATTACTCAGAGAAAACAGCTCTGAAGCAAAAAGCTGGGGTATTTTGAAGTAAAGTGAGTCTCTGCAACATTGTGGCTCATAAACAAATAGTATAGATAAAAATAGTAAAAATACCCCAAAGCTTTCTCGCAAAGCTTGTAGGTGAGACAAGAAGTTAAGAGTATTTTTCCTCTTAAAACTGACTAGATGGAATGGGTGCAGGCATTCGAAAATTATGCCAACCCAACAACCAATTGCTAATTACAGTACCAAAAAAAAATTTAAAAATAAACAATCTGTAAATTACAGAAGAATTTTCTGCCAAAACGAACAGACATAGCCTGAATTCTCAAGACAAGGATTTCAGCAATAGTCCATCCCTGTTACTTAATATATCAATCTGTCTCAGCCTTGGTTCTAGTTTTACATTCACTTGAATTTTAATTTTTCTCAGATGTTCTTTTCTCAAATGGCATTAGCATATTATGTTCTATGTAATTCCTTTGTTAAACTGGAAGAGAGCTGGCTGAGGGGGAACTGAGAAGATTTGAACACCAAGCCCGTGGTGGACTGGGCAAGAAAGACTTAAAACACTTCTATGGCAGCAAGAAAGAGTAGAGATGAATGAGAAGGGTCTGCAGGGAGCAGCAGCAGAGTGATACCTTGGGCAGGGTGCTGGGGGACCTGCCCTGCCCTGGGACTGCCAGAAGGAAAGGGATGCTCTCAGGTCTGGCTGCTTCATGACTCTGCAAACTCCTGACACTGACCCTGACCGTAGAGCTATTTCCCAATGGCATCCTGCCAGCAGGATCAGCCCCTCTGCTTTCTGGCAGCACAAGCTCTGTGTAACAGCTGCTTTGGTGTCCACTAATGGCTTATAAACAAGGAAAGGTTATAGTAGCAGATGCGTGCGATGACAGATATGGGTGAGTGCTTCAAGAGTTTCAAGAGTTCCAGGAGCATCATGCTTTGCTTATGTTGCTGCTTTTTCCCCAGGCCACAGTTTGATACATTTAGCATATCTGCTTACTCTCCTCCAGGGCCAATGCCCATGTATTTGGCATTTGGTGCAGGCTGCAGCCTGGAAATTCTCCCTGCAACCTCCTCTTTTTTTTTCCTTTCCAAGATGACTGGCCTTTGTGACGTAGGGATGAAGGTGTTATAACAAAGGTGTTATAACTGCATAAAATACAAGCATAGCAATACCCCTCTAAGGACACAAGACTGCCAAAAAACAAGGGGACACATACAGAAATTCAAAACTATACTCCTAGCCCATTCTGGACTGGACTGATATATAAATAATTTATTGTCTGAAGATGATATCACTTGGCTCCAGATCTGTCATGGGTTGAAGTTTCTGTGAACCACACACATCAAGCTTTGCACAGAACAAATATGGGCCTAAATCTTGCTCCTACCAGATCCCACATCATCCCACTTGGCCTTTTCAATGAAACATCAGCTAAAATTTTTGGGGTGAATCTCACATGTACCGCACCTTTCCTCTCCTCCTTCTGTGTGGAGCCGGTTTTTGCACAATTGCTAGAGAGAGAAATATGGAAGGTTTTTGCACAATTGCTAGAGAGAGAAATATGGAAGGACATTTTCCCCTGCCTGCCCTTGGGCAAGGGAGCCAGGACATCTCAGCTCAGCAGCAGGCAGGGTTCAACTGTATCCAGAGCCCCACAGCAGAATGGCCCCACCCTCTGCTGAAGATCAGGAATAAGAATCATAGAATGATTTGGGTTGCAAGGGACCTTCAGAGATCATCTAAATCCATCCCTCCTGTCATGGGCAGGGAAAACTTCATGAGTTCAAAGGCCCATCCAACATTATCTTTAACGCTTCCAGTGATCAATGATCCAAAGGAGTGGTTTAGGAGGAAAGCCCAACAACCCAATCCAAAGACAAGGTATCACCTGGCAGGGCTGCAAGTGACCACCTCAGTTCAAATCAACACCAAAGTGCTGGGGTCCTGCCCATATCACCCTGTGCTCACCTGCTGCATCCTCAGCGAGTCCAGCTCTCTCTCCAGGCGTGTGCGCAGCCGCCGCTCCATCTGCTCCCTCTTCTCACAGGCTGCCTGCAGCTGTGTCAGCGCCTGCTGCAGCTTCTCCACCTTCTCCACGTAGGCCTGCTTCCTGCGCAGCTGTGGGGCACAGGGGTCAGCAGGCTGCAGGGCACTGTACCCCACCCCGGGCCTCTTCAGGCACACACTCAGCTTGAGCATGGCTTTGGTCATTTGCTTCCAAGAGTTCCTCTAGGGAAAGGATGGTGTCTTTGATGGGCGGGGAATATGCACAGCAGGCATTGCTGGGACACAGCTACCCTTTTTGGAAGGAATGCTGCCCCAGATCTTCCACCCACTGGGGATCTGCTAACCATGAACCCCCCAGGCATTTCTAAGCAAGAGCTCTGATGTTGGTGGGCACTCTTTGGGCAAATACGCAGGACAAACCCAGATAAGAGGAGTCCCCGTGGGTTTTATTGACTGCTGACACTCAGCACACTGCCCGCACCCAGACAGAGAGGTTCTTTCTTCACTCCTGCATATTTGCTCAGCACAGGTGGAACAAGTAGCGTGCCAGCAGCCAGAAGCACTCCCACCTACTCTATTGTGCTCACAGGCTTGTCCATGGTGATCTGTAGATGGGATGTCCTGACAGCTAAAGCCAGGCCCTCTTTACATTTATAATGCAATTACTGAAGGGCTAAACATGACACAAGGGTTTTGCAATGCAGAGTTTTACGGCCAGAGATTGCTCAAGCAGCATAGCCCAAAAGGGGTACAAATTCCTCTTCTGTCACCCTAAATCCATCCATGTCACAGGGGAAGTGAAATACAGGCTTGCTCACAGTAAAAGCATAGTTTGGTCTAAACAAACCTCCCTTATGCCTGGCACCAACAACTGGCAGAGTGACCTCCTTAGCCCTGCTGCAATCTAGGGTAATGCTTACAGCTCCCTGGGCTTTCCCTGAAAATTAATGAGATTATAAACCCCACTAGTCTCTGGCAGCAGTATGAAGACTGCATTCCTTAGGAGCTCACAACTTGGCAAGATCCACACAGCAGAGGCTTCTTGCTGAAAGTGCTATTTTGGCAGTAGGAAGGTGTTTGTGTCACCTCCAGCCACACCAGCATGGACAGACAGGGATAGGGAGCTCCCCCAGGGTCTCTCTTTGGCAGCAGACCTCCTTTGCTCTCCCATGTCCTGCCAAATGCTGCAGGGTCCATCTGTATCACAGCAGCCACAACTTGGCTTTGGAGCACCCTCTAGACCCCAGGGTTCACACTCACACACCTCTGCCCTTGTGGCTGAGGCAATGCTCACGTGCCCACCACTGCCTTCAAAAACAATTTTGCATGAGATATGCAACAAGACAGTTCTCATAAATATTCATAAGTTTATAGGGAGGTTCTCAAGCCAATTCTGACTTTTCTAGTCTGCATGTAGATTGATAAACAAAAAAAAAAAAAAAATCACCAATGCATTTAAAACACAAAGTATAAAATGTTGTAATCCAAATTAATTTGGGTTGCCAGTGAAGCATGGATCCATAAGGGAAGGATGGCTAAAATCAGAGACATGTGATGCTAAGTTCCAACACCTTACAGACACACAGACTCAAAAAATCCCCAAAACTGGATGGCAACTGGAGAGGTACCAATCCATCCTCCTGCTACATGGTAGGATCAACTGTACATAAAACCTGGCACATATCTCTATAAGCTGTTTACAAAATCACTCAGGGGTAGGAATTACACGACCTATCCCTGCAAACTACTTCACAGTTTATTTTCCTTTACTGCCAGAAAACTTTTACCCTAATGCCTAATCTGGCTTTCTCTTATGCAATTTAAGCAAATTACTTCTTGTTCTGTTTCCAAACTGTGATCTACCAGAGCAATAAGCATTTAATTAAACAATTCACTTCTTCACCAGATCAGCAAACTTGCCTGAACACTGCCCTTGTCCCGGGGATTAGGAAAATAAAGATGAAGAAGAGCTAAGGCTAAAAGGAGATCATCCAAGCAAATAAATCTGAGTAAAGATGAGTGGGTCTTGGAAAAACATCTGTGCTAGAAATGTAACTCCAGTTTGAACAATTGCATTCTACAGATATGAGATTTGAATGAAAGACTGTAAGGGATGGAGAATCCACTATCACTCTAAGTAGATTGTTTCAGTGTTAATTAGTCTTAACTCTTTATATTCAGCTTGATTTGCTCAGTTTCAGCCTCCAAACACTGCATCTCATTATTTCCTCTTATGTTAAATAGAAATGTTTAATCTCTCTTCAGCAATCACTTCTTCATCCATCCCTGGATGGATAAAGGGAGAGCAGTGGATATTGTCTACTTTGACTTCAGCAGGGCTCACCATACTGTCTCTCACAACATCCTCATGGGTAAACTCAGGAACCATGGATGAGTGGACAGTGAGGAGGATTAAGAACTGGCTGAACAGCAGATCCCAGGTGGCACACAGTCTGGTTGGAGGCTTGGCACTAGTGGTGTCCCCCAAGGTTCAGTACTGGGCCCAGCTTTGTAGACCTATGAATCAATGATTTGAGTGAAGGCACAGGTGCCTCCTCAGCAAGTTGCCTGCAGACACAAAGCTGGGAGGAGCTGCTGATAGCCCAGAGGGCTGTGCAGCCCTCCAGAAGGACCTCAACAGGCTGGAGAGATGGGCACAGAGGAACCTTCTGAAATTCAACAAGGGAAAATGCAGAGCCCTGCACCTGGGGAGAAATAAGCCCATACTCCAGTACAGGATGGGGGCTGACCTGCTGGAAACCAGCTCTGCAGAGAAGGACCTGAGGGTTCTTTACTATGTGGGTGACCGAGCACTGGAACAGATTGACCAGAGAGGCTGTGGAACCTCCCTCATTGCAGATAATCAAGAACCATCTGGACACAATCCTGTGCCATGTGCTCTAGGATGACACTGCTTGAGCAGGGAGGGTGGACCAGAAGACCCACTGTAGTCCCTTCTAATCATAACCATTCAGTGATTCATGTTCATGTGCACAGAATGAAGCTCAAACAACTTTTCCCTTTAATTCTTCCCAGCAAAGAACAACTTCTGGACCCCAAATAAATTGTACAGCTGCTTTCTGAGCCCTCTCCAATTATTCAGTTTTCTATTCAAAGCATGGAACAGACACATGATTCCAGTAGCAGTCTGCTAAATGACATGTGGTAATAATACCACCTACACATTTTGAATTAAATCCTTCTACTAGCAGGCACTCAAGGATAATGCAGATTTATATAGAACACTATCTTATGTTAATTCAACTTACTCGCTACTGCTTATTTCTCAAGGCTTGATTTAAAATGCTGTTAATTACATGCTGCTGGTAGAAGAAATCTGGGCAGATTTACAAAGCAGTGTATGAGCTAGAGCTCTGTTAACAATAATAACAGTCATTTTGATTTGACTGAATTTGTGTTTTCCTCAATATATTCCAAATTATAGTAAAAATCCCTGGCTTAAAATGAAGGTTTAACACTGCAGCTTATCTTCTGCATGTGTCTAAATAAGATCCAGAAACACTGGAGACTGTTGAAAAGGTGCTCGGATTCAGCCATGAAAAGAGGACAAAAGGGAAAGTGAGTGCTGGAGCTTGGGCACTTGCTGGCACCCTCAGATTAACTGCACTTCACCCAAGCTGCCTGACACTGCCTTGAACTATTAAAACACACAGCTGGACTAAAATTCATTTGAACTGCCCCTAGACAGAACAAAGAAGTTAAAAGGTACCAGATCAACATGGGTTTGTCAGGCTAAGGACTCTGATATACTCTGGCAAATACCTAGGCATCACTTTCATATGTCACCTCTGAGACCTACCATGCCCAGGGCAAGAGTTTACCACCTCTATAACACCTACAGTGCCCCAGGCAGGAATTTACCACCTCCATAACTCCTGCCATGCCCTAGGCAGGTTAGGAGCTCCCTAGAAGGGAATATCTAACCTCTGCTCAGCTCTACCAGTCCACAATCCAGGATCCAGCAGAGGCACATTTACATTTCTGTTGAATGACTAGACTAAAACCTGACTACTGCCAAGCTCTTAGAGCCCTAAGGCTGCAAACATACAACACAGCAGGCACAAGGTAGGTTCTTGAACCACCTGCCTGGAGATCACTGTATAAATGCTTCTGCCTTCACTAGTCTCTACTCAGCAAGTCAATGTTACCTGCCAGTACCACACTGACAGTCTGTGGACCAGACACAAGCTAAACACTCCTTCTTCCCATCCCCTACATGATGCCATGAGTGTAGAAGCAGGCACCTAAACCATTCCTTTATTCAGCCCTTTGTAATGAAATGCAAATAGAAAACCTCAGGTTGCCTTTCAGCCAAAGAGTGTCAAGTGAATTATGTACAGATTAAAGATATGCTGGCTCCTGCAGCTACCCCAAAGGGACTGCCCCAAATACACCCAGATGGTGAGCAGGCTATAGTCTAACTAACAAAGGAGCAGTTAACTTAATGTGATCCTCTTCTTGCTGCTGAGTGCATCCATCCAAGGAAATGGAGTTTTTAAAGTATTTCTAAACAGGGAGTCTGTATAGGCTATTTTGGTCAGGTACAAACCAGCAATGTCTTCAGCACTCACATATAGTACTTCAAATCTTCCAGACTCAAAGTACCCATTGCTTTAGCCTGACAGGGAGTCTGTCATTGTCATTTTACTGTCAATAAAAAACATTCAAAAATCACAGAGGTGAATTCTCCCTTCATCTTTCCAAGACAATGAGTGGCACTTAAGTTAATTGCAAGTATTTGAGAAAGGCTTTCTCTGCTCCCCACAAGACCCCTTGCATCCCCGCTCCCCTGGCCAGCCCTGGGGAGGGAGGAGGTGGAAAATGAGGCTGTGAAGTGGAGCAGAGCTGCCCAAGATCCTGCCAACAGTCTGTGCCAGAGTCTGAACCTCTACCTAATCTGCTAGGGCAGAGGGTCATCAAGCCTTCCTGTCACCAACGACCTGGCTACTTAGGCAGTAAAGATCAGGTTCCTTTTACTTCCCATAAAACATTCTCCCCTCTGTTGGTCCCAGGGACAGAGATTTTAGGGGTCTGAAAGGTCAAAAGGGCCTGTTTTGACAGTTTTACCCAATCTGCTATCATGCATTGACTTTCAACCAGTTACTAGATCCACACCTCCTGATTTGAAGGTCCTTAAGGAATTCAATAAATTGAGATTTTCTTCACCAGTAATGGAGAACTGACAATGTCATTCTTAGATATAGTTAAAACTGAACATTATTTCCACTATGAATTTGTCTAGTTTCAGCTTCCAACTACTAGGTACTGCTCTGTCTGTCAGTTTAAAGAGCGCCTGTGCCTAGGATTTCGCTTCCTCTCTGAATACCTATTTTCACTATCAGGCTTATATGATTACTTATTGGGATTTTTGCACTTCTTGGGTCTCACAGTATGATAGGTTCTCTTCAGCTCTCAAATAAAACCTGCAGCTCTAAATCCTGGTCAGTCAGTCTGCTTCCAGCCAGATCAGCCAGATATTTTAAGATGTGAAGTCACCAAGTCCTGCACTGCTGTGTGCATCTCAAAAGCTTCCTGGTACTCTTTGGTGAGAAATGGGATGCACTAACACCATATGTCTCTATCACAGTCCCAGGCCAGTGAGTAGTCAGTTTTTTATTCAATTTTTTCTGTTAAATCCTACCATTACCTCAGCCACCAGCTAGTTGAATTTAATCTTGTTCCTGGTTGGATGTTGAAGGCTTTGCTCTAGACACAACTATGGTCTCCTTTGCTTGCTTGTTTGGCTCCGTATTGTGTAACTACACATTTTCTCTATAAAAGGGCAAGTGCAAGGGAAACAGGAAGATCTAGCACTTTGTGGGTAGAAGAGAATCAGGACTTGGATGGAGAAAGGTCTAACCATGAGCCATGTGTATCCTCAGAGCACAGAAATATTGTCCATGCCTCACCTCCTCTTCCAGCTTAATAACCTTGGCTTGTGCATTGTTGAGGGCCTGGTCAAGGATTTCAATGTGCCTCCGCTGGTCCTCATTGGCTGAACGCACAGCTGCCAGCTCCATCTCCAACTTTTCCTTCTCCTTCAAGTTCTCTTTGTCTGAAAGAAAGACAAGAACAAGAGCCACGCCATGAGGACAGCTCACAGGCCCCAGACCACACACTAGAGGAAAGCTGTCACCTCCCTAGAACAGAAATTATGAAAAGAGCAGTGAGCAGGGCCTTTACAACACAGTGCTGAGACACAGCGGGCAAGGAGCTTCTACTGCCAGGGCTCAGCCCCTCAGTGCCCAGCCTTACACCAGCAGCAGAGACCAGGGGCAGCTTGGGCTGCATCTGCACCAGCAGAGCTTGTGGCCCCCAGCACTACCTCACATTCTGCTGAACTGCTAGAACATCCCCCAGAAACATGTTGGCTTGCACCAGGTACCCCTTTTTTACACAACACCCTACATCAAGAGCTGCTGAGAGCTGCCAGCTTCAATTCTGCTGCCTTCTGTAATGGGCAAGAAACCTCAGCTCCATGGATGTGGGCTGTGCTGTGCCTCAAGCTTTTTATTTGCAAAGATGGAGATCATGACACACAGAAAATTGAGGAAGCCAAATAGTAAACACAAATCTGTGCTGGACAGCCTGAAAATGGAAAAAGGGGAAAACAGTAACAAAGAATATGATAGGAAGCCTCTGTACCCACTTCCTCTGCCCATGCAAAGAAAAGGGAGGCTGTGGGAGCCATTTCAGGCCTACGGGGGCCCTGGGTGACCTTCCAGACCTGTAGGATTTAAGGATCCAGTGACCAGTGCTCCCCTTCTGTTAAGCATTATGAGTGAGACTAAAGCATGTAGATAACCTCTCTGCTGAAAAATCATCCCTTTTTTGGGTAAGATTTAAAACAACATTAAAAAAATAAACAACTGGCTAAATTCAGTCTGCTCTGAATTCTTTGTCTTCAGCAACAAATTGCAGGCCCACCGTTGACTTTGCTGGCAAGCTGTGTGGGGAAATGCTTGGCTCCATCTGCTTCTGCCCTGACAGTGCTGAGAAGCCATTTCTGGGAACACAAGAGTCACAGGCCTATCACTGGATCCTGATGTCAGAGCACAAACAGTTAATGACTGAAGTGAGCAGGGGATCGAGGTTTCTTTCAGTGACATCTGAAATTTCAAAAGTTGGCCTTTGTTCTGAATGACAACAAAAATAGATACTTGGAAAACCTTCAGGAAGGCAATTTTCCTCTAAAAATTTATTTGGCATCAATTAAATGTTGTTTTGATTTCTGATTTTTAAAACATAGCATTACATAATTTATTATTTTTTAACTGAAGTGAAAAGTTGTTTCAAAAACACTGAAACATGGGAAACCTGCCCCAAACACCCAGCCCACGCCACCCAAATGTGGCCACTCAAGCTGGAAGCCCAACCATCCACCTTCCCCCAAGCAGGGTCAGAAAACTTCTCTGGCCAAAGCCATTCCATTTTAGACCTGAACTAGCCCCAGCAGGGCCACATTCTTCCTTAGTGTGAGGTGGGATGAGAACAGGTTTAATTCACACACCATCAGCAGGTGCCTGCAGTGAGGTGAGATGGACACAAGCTGAGCCATGTGTACAAGGCAAAAGTGGACGAGGTGAGCCCAAACCCACCCACCTGTCTTCTCATTTATCCTACCAGGAGGAACTCAGCACCTCATAAAAACTGCTGGCAGCAATAGCATCATGCTGGTCACTGCAAAGCCCACAGGCAAAGCCCAGTGAGTGCTGTGGACACTGCACCACTGACTGCCACCATGAGCCATCTTGGGATGATGGTGGCCTTCCTCTTCCCTTGTTGGCATGGGATTTTATATCAGACATGCAGATCTCTTCCTTCAATGCAAAAATATTTACTTCAATCAGATTAGCCAGTAGGAACATTAGTATCTATTGTAGAAAAGTGTAAATCTGGGCAAATTATCAGTGAGCTAATGTCATTAGAGGGTGAGGAAGCTGGAAGACGAATGCTATTTGAGCCCTGCACTCCACCACCTCATGCTGGGACCACACATGCTCTGCTCTGGATTTGAAACCCGTGTTTCACATTACACATGGGGATAACATAGCAAAACAGGACTTGGGATCTTCATTTTCAATTTCCATTCATGGAAGTTGAAGTCCTCAGCCTACCCTGTTGCATTGTGCTTTCTATACTGCCAAGAGGACTAATTATACACAAATATACAAAATAATCACCACTAGAAAGCTAGAAAGAACAATTTCCTGAACAGCTCTCAACATTTCTCTGTGTCAGCTTCATCCTGTAAAATTCTAGACACACATTTTATAAGTTCTTTACTTGCATTAATTTTTAGTGATGAAGGACTTAGTTGAACATACCTTAAATTCTCTTCAAGTGCAAACAAAGTATCCTTAAGGTCTAAAAACACTGTTTTACTACACTACCCTTGCATACACCTTTTCAACTAAAGGACTCTAATTAATAACTATTTCTGTGTTCTGCTGGGTCACTGCCATACCCCATTACAGAACAGCTCCCAAAAGGCTTCACTGTTGCAGCTCACAGTTGTAATCTCACAGTTTTCTACAGACTGCCTCTGACTGTTGTACCTCCACACACCATGGATATTACACTTGTATTTCAGCTGGGTAGAGGAAAGAGGATGAAGCAAGAAGGCTGCTTCAGTACTTCTCAAACAGGCTTTCTCACTTGTCAGGCTGGGCAAGTGCATCAAAAGTAGACAAGTCTTGAATCTGCTTTGAAATGGAAACTTTAGACAAAAAGATACAGGCATGAGATGACACAGACTCAGTGTAACTCAGATGTGACTCCCACCTTAGCACACATTACATCTGAGTATCAACTTATTTGACCATCTCAATACATCCCAAGCTGATTTTTGCCTTGCTCTGATGCTGCAGAGTGGCAACAGTCCTTGCTACTACAAAATGACCACTGCTGGCAGAAGAAAATATATCAAGTTACAGCAGCTGGAGACTAATTTGGCTGCAGAAGACTTCCTGCAAACAAGAGTGGCTCCCATAGCACAACCCTTGCAGCGCTCCCAATAATTTCTCTTATGCAGGTTTTCATTTCCCAGTGGTGGCTCTTCACTCACAGCTGTTAATTCCACAGATGCCTTCCAGTGACCATGCCTTTCCTCAGTGAAACCTGAGGGATTTCTTTAGCCTCTCGTCACTCTTGCAGCTCCTGACATGGCAAGTGTGTGGAGGAGCTCTGTCATCTGCCATCCCTGGTCACAGGTGTACACCATGGCAGCTGCTGCCAGTCACCCTTGGACCAGCTGATGTACCAGGATGGGGCACAAGAGTCACCTCTCCTGCTCACCTAGATCAAGCTGTGTCCCAGCCAACTCCAGTGGCCCAACCTTCCCAAACAGCCATGGCTGTGAGACAGGGGATCAAGAGCAGGATGGGCCCTCATGCTCCAACAGCCTCCCCAGACTGACTGTCAGAAGGAACCTGAAATGAGGACAGGACTTTGTTGCCTCTCCAAAGACCTCTCAGCAGCTGGTATCCACCCCATAATAATAAGTAAAAGAAATCAATCAGTATTTATACCAAGCAGCCAAACAGGAGAAGGTTTTCCACAGCTTTACTACATTCTCTACAAATTAAATAGACTCAGGTTGCCAGGCCCAGACATGTCCCTGCAGAAGAGCAGCAGAACTACTGTCCATCTGTCCATCTGCCCAAGCCTCACTCAGTCCTCTGCAGCTCTGGTTTGATGCTGACAAAGCTGGGCCAAAGGAGGCCTGGAGCAGCAATGCTGATTATTTCCTGATTATTTCCGGTCTGGAAATGGGAACATTTCTTTGCCTGGGATATTTGGGACAGAGCTATATGCACAGATTCATGGCACATGAACTGAACATTCCCACAAAGCAAAAGGCTTTATCAACACACTGCTAAAACTGTCCATGTATCCCCATTAACAGATGTGGAGCCATGTGGATGGGAACAGACCTCAATCTTTCTCAGACACCTGAAAAAACAGTGCTCCCATAGTTCAGAAATCCCAAAAAACCAGACAGAATTCTCACACTCCACCAAAACATATTTTTTCCAAGATATCAGGATAATAAGCTGCATTGTAAGCTTTCTCTCAGCCCTATGTCCTTGAAACCATCCTCAATCTTCCTGCCTCTTCCTTTCCACATCATCTCTCAGCCTCCTCCTAAGTGTCTCTTCTCTTGCCTGTACGGGCCTATATGTCTCCCATCAGTTGCTGCTTCATGGCTTTCCTTAAAAAAACCCTTTTCCCTGACAAAACATCACATAATTATCTTTTAACTAATATGGTGTGAGTATTTTCCAGCCCTGCCTAGCACTCAATACTTAGAGGCATGTGGCCTGGCTTTGTCTATTATAATTGCAAAGAATAAGATTTTTTGTCACCTGCAGTCTCCATCTCAGAACGCATGACTGCTCTGCGCTGCTGCACTGCTAATGGAAAGCTCTGCGAGGAACCTTGAACATTCTTCCTTGCCAGATTTCTTTTTCTGGGAGTCTTTCCCAATACTGGAGTTTTACCATAAAAAAATTGCTATGCAGTATTACCAGCCTCAATAATCTTATCTTTCTTCAGCTCATCACCAGAGTGGCTTAAAAATGACAACTTTTAGGAAACTATGGATGTTGGAATCTTCTTATATAAACTTGGGTCATGTTTCCCAACTGTCTTCCAAAAACATAGGGACTAGAAATCTGCTTTTGCTTTCCTAATGAAAATTTAGATTTGCATTCACTAACCTGCATTTACTTAATAACCTGCTACTCTTCAGAATAAAGCCAAAACATCACCTTCACAACTAACCTTCTTCTCTTCTTCTAAAATGACTACTTCAATCTCAGTGTATTTAAAGCAGCTAAAACTCAGTTTCCTTCTTCTCAGTTTTCTGCCTGTGCATCCTATTAAAATACATGAGGAAGATACAAACTGTGCTTGCAAAAACCCTCAGGTCAGCAGTGAGGTACAGCCGAACCCCAGTCACAGTCTGTCCCAGTGGAAGACTCAGACACACACGAACATCAGAGTATAAATGCAGTCAGCAACAGAGGATTTCCAAGCAGAACCTTTTATGGACTCTGAGAGGGGTGTTTGTTAGGCAGACACCCTGATATCGAGGTCAGTATTGTGCATGTCCCAGCAGCCCGAAGAACATGACTGAAGAGGACCTGCTTTACATGTGCCCATTTTTCTATTCTTGGAAGCACTCTGCATTGCATTAGTAACATTTAGCTCGCTGGCCTAGCCAGGAGACACTCCAAGCATCCAGACCTTCTTACGTGACAGGATCCAAAAAGCTATATTTGTTTGTAAGCTGTGAATTGATTGCAGCAATATGCTGAGTGCACAGCACAAAGTTTCACTGCTAGATATTTATCAGCAGAAGCACAGAGCATGTTTATGTATTGGAAAAGAACTCAAACCGAGTCCATCCTGGGGATTTAACTCCTCCTTGTAGCTAATAGCATATGGCAACGCTGCCAGGCTGTCTCTACGTGAAGAGAGCAGATCCCAGTCTCTAATTTCTACTGAGCAGCTTATCCCATCTGAACTCTTCCCGAGGATGACAAGATTTATACAGCAATGCCATTTCCTTAAGAGATCATCCCATTGCATTTGCAGCAGTATCTGCACACCTTTATGCCATTTGCTAATACAACAAAGCTAACAGGTCATGGAAAAGATCACTAGATTCTCTTCTGGTTTGTGCACAATTGTACCAAACAATCAGCTGTGCTGGCATCATTGCTGCTGGTGGGAGCCAGGAGAAGGCTCTCCAGCATTTGGAGCAGCTGCTGGACATTGCAGGGCTGGTGGTAAGGCATGTGGAATAGTACCAAACTCTGCAATGCTAATGGAAGTGGATGGTTCTGCACTGCAGTTGCAGTTCGTCTTCCAAGGAAGCTCTTGATGTGATAAAACAAAAGGATGAGCTGTACGCAGCAATGAGCTTCACTAGGATTTCAGCTCACAAGATACTGCACAGTATCTTCCCTTCTGGAAGCATGCTGAAGATGCTTAGGATACAAAAGAAGCCACACACATCATCCAGCTGCTCAGGTTGGATGGTCACACACACATCAGTGCATGGCAAGGAAAATCAGCAGCACTAAGGCCAGTCATTATGGAAGCCTACAATGCATTGGGAATGCATGCTTCCATAGCAATAGAAGCTCTTTGTCACTTTGTCAGATCTTTGTCACTTCAGTCCTTGGTAAAAAGCATGGTTGAGCTCTGCTCTTTCTGCTGTTAGTCAAACTGTGGCACTGATAACTAGTCAGCAGAGCTCGTTCTGAGCTTCTCCCAGCCAAGAGAAGAATCTGGCTTCTCTAAAAAGCATGCCTCTTTAGAGATTATCTCTGCAAGCAACACTTCACAATTTCAGATAAATATTTATCAAAAATAAGCTAAGTTGTGTTACCATGAACTCCCACTGCTTGGTTCTGGTGCTTAGAGGGAAAAAACCCTACCCCAAACAATCCAGTCTGCAGCTTAAACAAGACTGTGTGATGAATAAGCTGAGTAAAACCAAGCCACAAGCAGAATAACAATTAATAGCACAGTCTTCACCTCCACTCCACTATGTATACATGTGTGCATGTATATATGCATATATATATATATATATATACATCTGCATCTTCCAAACAGATCAGCACAGTACTCACTCTGAGTGGCATAAAGGCCCTCTGTTGCCTTATCCTCGTGCCCATCGAAGTCTCGGCTGGCCAGCTGCCTATTGGCTGTCTCCAGTCGTTCTGCAAAAAACAGGAAATACTTCAAGTATAAATATATGTATATGAAATTGTAGGCCAACCAAGAAAATAAGATGCATGCCAGCAGAGAAGTATAAATAGACTCTCTGAAGGAGGATATTAAAATGGAGGCTGACACATACATAAAAGATGAGGCCTTTGACCTCTTCCATGAAGCTGTGTTATTCAGATTCACAGAAACTGGAAGAAAGTTTCTGCCATTCACAGCTGACATGCCCAGGCAATCATGTCTCACACTACTCAAAATGCACAAGGCATTTGCAATCTGAATTACCCAACTGTGTAAGGAGATGGCTGCTTTCCTGCAGTGAAGAGCTGCCCCTGGTGCAGCAAGACATCCTGGGGAACAGGAGCCCCCAGCCCAGTGACACCACTCCTTAGGGATGCCCTGGGAAAGAAGGCATTTTCTGCAGCCAAGGACAGCTTCCCCTGGGAAGGTCCTGCCTTCAGAAACTTCCCCCCTTCAAAAAGACAATGTGTCCCACTTACACCATTGCAAAAAACGTAAGTCAACTTGAAAAAGGCACCTCACTGCAGGAGCAGTGAGTACCCAAGTACCCCCCATAAGGAACCTGGACGGGTGATAGGAAATAGAGGATATGTTGGGTAACTTTCTCAAAAGGATACGCCCTCAAATTTAAGTTTTTAAAAAAAGAGATAACCTTTGATACTGGCTACAGACCTGTGAAGGCATTGATCTTGGAGATTTATGGGTAACACAGTACTGTTCTACATTACAATTTGCTCTTTAGCTCTTTAGGAGTGAGCAGGTGTCTCAGTTTGAGGCAACAGGATACTGTGACTGGTGGCCTCACAGTCAAATCCATATTTTCAAGTGTTAAACACAAAGGCACCATCTGGAGCCGATTCTTACACTTTGCCAGAAGGTATTTTTGCCACCAGGAGGGTGACAGCAGTTTTGTCTAATGCCAATGAGCAGGGCCTTATTTCTCATGATGTGTATCTACATATTGTGTGAAGCCACTCCTCTAAAGCCTGCTGCTCTGGAGCTTGTTAGTGAAACACCATGTCAACCAAAGGGGGAAAAAAACCACAAGCAACTGTAACGTACCACGGAGATCCCTGTTGAAGTCATGAAGTCTCCTAATTTCTCCTTCGAGTTTGTTTCTCATCGCTTTGTCCAGGGACTCCCTCTTAGTGGTGGTCTTCACCAAACCTTCATAAGCCTCTGAAATCCTCTGAATCTCAATCTCAAACTGAAAGGAGAGAGAGTTCCTGTTAAAGCCCTGCAGGAATGTGTCCCTTTCCAGTGTTTGCCCAGCACATTCCAGTAACACAAGGGGTCAGGCAATGCTCATGTCCAGTGTCACGCCAGCCACCAACTCTGCAATGATCGATCTCCCTGGCAGACAATGGCATGAAACCCCAGCAATGCTGGTGGCTCCTGCACTGGGGACCCCATAAACACCCTGTGGGGCAGCTCACCATGTCACAACACCCCAGGACACCCCACCGGCAGCTCCCAAGAAAAGCCTGAGGTGGGCTACACTTGATGGAACTGCTTGGTTGCCTTTGGTCTATGACCAAGGTGACTGCTTTAATGCCACCCAAGAGCAGAAAAAACAAGAAATGGTGTACTTGTGTGGGCTGTATTCTCTCCTAGAAAGGGTGTAGGAGGCAACATTTATTGTTCAACAGATCCCTGATCCAGAACTTATCTCTGAGCTCTGAATGCCACTAAAAGTATTTTAGACTCAGCTCTGGCCTCCAGTCACTTTTAAACTACTCTGATCCATTCCTTTCCATCCTTGACTGAAGACTGCTTTATACAAGAGGAACTCTCTGTAACAAACAGAACGAATTGTTTTGGGTTTTTAATCTTCTTAACTTCACCTTCTTGAAATCTGGCAAACTGCAGGCAAGGTATGCAGAGGAATCCCTTAGTGGTGAACTTGCATTTTAAGACCTGAGCCCAAAAGACTGACAGAAGAACAGTCCTGAGTAGAGTTTTGCTGTTCAGCTCAATCCATCCAACTCTTTTAATAAGATAATATCATGTTAAGTGATACAGCTTTGGTTAAATTATTGCTGCAGAGATGATCAATGCTGATGTGGGAATCTGTTCCTGCATGCCTGGCCCTTGTGTTTGTGGAGAAAGGCTTGATAATGTGCACAGGCTGGAAAACCAAAAGACACACATGGCCTCCCACGTACCTTTCTAAATCTGGTGCTTTTTTGGCCTCTTGAGTCATGGGTGGGACAGATTCATGATTTTTGAAGCCAGGGTGCAAGCTCACCTCCACTTGCCAAAGAGCTAGGTTCCTCTCAGTAAGCTTCAGGCATGATTTTCCAGCTGCAGCACTTGCAGAATGAAAGCTCCAGGGACACTGGAGCTGTCACCCCACTGGGTGTGTAGGAACCCACAGTGAGGCTCCAGCAGCCTGGACCTGCACCTCCTACAATGCTGGAGCCACTCTGTCAAGATACAGCCCGTGGGCAGGCAGCACCTCCAAACGACGCACCGAGAAAGCCTGGCAGAGCCATGAAGGGGAAACCTGATTACCTTCCCCAATTTCTGCTTCCAGCTTGTTCACAAGCACAAAAGCTGAAACAAGTGGGGAGATTCAGACTAGCCATGAGAAAGCCTTTCTTTACTGAGTGGGTGGTCAAACCCTGGAACAGGTTTCCCTAGAGAGGTGGTTGATGCCTCCAGCCTTTCAGTGCTTTAGAGGCATATGAACAATGCCCTGAGCAAGATGCTTTAATTTGGTTCTCTCTGAATTGTTCAGGGAGCTGGTGAGCCACTATCTGCAGGTGAAGATGCTTTCTCCAGACAGCTCCTACCACAGCAGAGCAGATTTGCCAGCACAAAAGTGGCTTTCCACAGCCTAACAGTCTGGCCCAATGCAGCTGGTTACCACAAGGACTCTGCTTGGCCCTCTATATGCTGGTATTTCCCAAAACACATCACCACACCGCCTGCAGCCCTGGAGGCAAAAACTTCCTGTAGCAAGTGCTCCATCAGCACTGAACAAAATTAAAGGAGAGCAGAAGAACAGCCATAAATTGTGTTGGCGTTTCTCAACAGCTCTGGGATTTCCTTCTCCTTCTTCCATGGAGGAAAAAAAAAAACAATTCACCCTTTTCTCTGCCTGGTAGCTCCTGGAGCCAACCCACTCAAACAACCCACACATGTGGCATGGGGAAGAGCCAGCCCAGCCTAGCAATTAAACTTCAGCAGGTAACACTACTCAGAAAAGGGAAAATCATCCAAAAAGCTCAAAATTAAATGCACACAATTCCTCTTCCAATTTTTTTAGGTAAGAAAAAAAGGCAACTCATCAAACAGCAGAGAGACTCATCAGCACCTTGTACCTCTCTAGAAAAAAGTTTGTTCATACACAACTGAGAATGTGACAACCCTCAGAACTGAGCTGTTTGTACAAATGCCCAGGGAGTCCTACAAGTCAGGCTGACTTTCTCTAACTTCTTCCCCTATTCTGTAATGAATAAAAGTGATGGGAAGGTCGTCCTACCTAGAATAAAATTGTTATCCACAAACAAGAAGTACTCATTCCTGACCTTTCCACTTGCAACAAGAGGGAAGAGTTTTCACATCCAAAGTACATAATTTAACTCAATCACATTTTCAGAGGCAATGTTTGTGGGAACTGAGGAAGACCTGCCCTGACCTTGTGTTCAAACACAGCAAAAGCAGCATGGGAGAGATACCATGTGTTAGAGATTTGGTTTCCTGAAGAAAGAATGCACTTGAGTATGTGTTTCACTTTAATACTCCGCTTACATTCCCCCAAAGTCAATGGGACTCAAGTCCACACTTTATTGACTGAAGTAAGACTTCAGTCCATGCTTGAATACCTTTCTGTGGGTGCCTGATGCAATACACTTGCAGGGCATCCAAGATAAAGAGAGAACCATTTCCAAGGGTGAAAGAAACCAGAATATTTATAGGGCATTACACTTAAATACCTTTTACTGAACAATGCAGCTTTTGTAAAATTAATAGCTGGAATATTTCTTTTTGCCCACAAAGGCCACAGGAAGTCAGTAATAAAGTTATTGCAGATTTCTTCATGAACAGTTAACGTTGCTGCGAAATTTTTTTAACTAAGTTTAGGAAATTCTGGGAATAAACTCAACTCGTCTTGTTGCAGAGAAGGCAGAAAGGACAGCAGCCACAAAACACTTGGTCTTTTTCCTAATCTGTTTATTTTTCCTAATCTGTTGGAACAGATTGTCACAAATTTCTCCCAAAGCTAAGGAGAAGCTTCTCCCTAAGCTGGGACATGTCTCTGAGAGCTGCTTCTTCTTCTCTGAAGGGTGTCTCCCTGATCCACACAGCATACAAAAAAAATTGAGCTCCTATATAGAGTCCTAAATTCAGAGAGAAAAGACCTGCAGTCTAAGCTCATTTGTGTATAAGTGGTAGGAAGACATAAATGAAATAGTAGTACAGGGTCCTAAGTAAGTTATTTGGTCTGAGCTCTTAGGACCCAAAGCCAGCAGATCTGGGGAGCATCTCTGATTTGCCTTCAGTGAGCCTCAGTTTTAAGCAACTTCTACTTCATTAGATACAACTCTTCATCTTCTCACCCCAGGCAGTGTGCAAGACATCACCCTTCTCCGCTGGAAAAACCTGCATTTTTCATAGAAAAGAGCATGCAGGATCTCTTAGAAAAATGGGTTTCAGCAAAATCTTTATTAAATGGCTCTTTCAGATAAGGGGACAGTGCTTTTAGAACCAACATGTTCAAATGGATGTCTAACATCAGTTTTTAGAAAGTCAAGGAGCAGTAACTGAAAGCTTTTAAGACAACCCAGTTCATGAATTTCATAACAATGGACAACCCCACTGGGCTGTTACACTTCCAAAGAGTGTGGAGCACCACATGAGCTTATTGTGGTGGACGAGACTGCCTGGGACAAATAAGAACGTGCTCTTCATATGGTTCTCACCTGCATCTCTAACCCCTATGCAGATGGTGCAGGACCCTGCTGCACCAGGAACATACTGCCCATGGGAGACTTCCAGGGAAAGCTCCAGTGAGGCCAGCATGGAAGATGGAAGGGGAAAACACCCAGTTGAGAGATATCTGATGGACTGCTCTGTTTCATCCTAAAGGCAGTAGAGCCCACAAGGCTCTACTGTGAAACCACCATGGAGAGGCAGTGGTTAGAAGCGGCCAGTGGTGCATCCCCACTGCAGTGACGCAACTATGAAAAACAGCTGCCCAAAGACAGACGCACCAAGATGGTTATCCTGGCCAGGGATAACCATCCCAATCTCTACACCTACCTTCTGCAGCTTGTCTGCCTTCTCGTAGTGGCCCTCCAGCTCCTGCCGCAGCACGTGGTTCTCCTCGGAGAGCATCTCCACCATCTGCTGCGCCCGCTCCACGATGGCAAAGGCGTCGGGTGTCAGCTGCTGGCCCGGCAGCGTCGGGGTCTGGGCAGCCACGGGGGCCGGCAGTGGGGGCAAGGAGCCTGGGAGCAGAGGGCCAGCAGTGGCCTGCGAGGACATGGGGCTGTGCTGCTGGGCTGGCGGCGGCGGGAAGGGCGGCTGGCATTGTCGGCTGTGGGAAAGCACACATGGGGGAAGCGTTAGAGCCGCACGCCCTCAAAATGCGTACGGGAGCTTTCACCTAGTGACTGCGTGGTTCATTAACAGTGTTCTAACTGGACAGTCACGACTCCTAAATGCCAACAATTGCAGCAGACACTGGGTAAATTGTCTCCTTGCCTGTTCTTGACAGTGGCATACATGTCTGCTATGAGCGCATAAAGGAAGCACTGACTCAAAACCAGCATTTTTGCCTAGGTGTGCAGCTAATACTGCAGCAGCCACCAGCCTCTTCCTGCCTCCCCTTCCCACAAACACCATGGCTGAGAAGCATAAGCTGGCAGGCTTGAAGAAAACACAAGGGATACATTACTCACCCTTCGAACACCACTCCCTGCCCAGAGTAAGATCAGTGAATCAGCTGAGTTGGGAGGCAAGAGGAAGTGATGTGAGCAAAGCAGCATCCCTGAGTGGCCGAAGCAAGTAGAAGAGGAAGTGCTGCTGCAGAACTGCTGGAGGCACAGCCCCATTCAATCACAGTGAGCCATGAAAGCCATCCTCCAGTGGCAGCCCTCATTGTGTCACTCCCCAGTTAAGGGCATCTATCGCTCACTGGACTCGTATCACGGAAGAATAAGCAGTGAGCTGGTAGTGGATCTGTTTGTGAGCTAGGCTTGCTGTCAACAGGCAGCCTTTTAAAACACTCAAATCATAATTTGCAGTGGCTGGAAGATAATCCAGGAGGATGTCTCAGCAGTGAGGGAAAGGCTGGAGCTGACAGCCAGCTGGGATCAGAGTCCCTCACCCAACCCATCTCCATCCCTCCCTCCACTGCACAGGCAGCCCTCAAAGCCTTGGCCAGGGGAAGCAGTCCCGGGCAAAATCTCACTGTGCACAGGCTGAGCCACTTCTCAGCCCTGATGCCAAAGTTCTGAAATTTCTACACTGATCTTGCTAAAGAGATTCAACCCACACCATGTGGTACCTCAGTGTCAGGGCCCACTTTGGCTGGAAAATAAGTTGGCTGCTGGACCCCACCTGAAGTCTGCAATCAAGCACCTTCTGGATTTGTATTTTAATGTAACCACAAGCTATTAGGCTTGCTGTGGATACCATTACCTTTATTTCTGTACCCTGCACACAGCACAAGGCATAATGAATGCATATATTTACCCCACTGGGCCTCAAAGAACCATGAATGCTTTTTCTTAGACAGACAATTTTGTGCTATATAAATACACAATAATTATGGTTACTGTTGTCTTCAGCACCTACACAGCTTCTCAAAATAGGACTTTCAAAAGCCTTCAGTGTTGGCCTAATTCTACTGACAATAACCCACCACTTTGTTTGACTGCAGCAGAACAAAGCTGAAAAGTGAAGGTAATTTTAAAATCCTGCCCTAGAAAATGAACAGCACTGCTCTAACAAACTTGTCCCTGCCAAGCCACACGACAGCAAAGAAAGCCAGCAATTCAGCCTAATCTTCTGTCCAAACTAGAGTGAAAGCAAATCTCCAGGCTCCCAACACAGCACACACTCAGTCCCACACTCTTATCCCAGCTTTGTTCAATGCATCCACTCTTGCACAGAAAGGTACTGAAATGGAGGAAAAACCGAACACAAGTACTCTGCTAACTTGGTAAGAAGTACAGACCAGTGTTCCTGGGAAGAAGATCCCAGCAGAGTTTCATGCAGCCAGCAGTGAGGAAAGCTGTGCTGAGCTCAGTCTGACATTGAGATGGCTTTGACCTGCCTACCATAGACATGCTCTAAGGCTGTGTCTCTCCTGGAAATTAAACATCCACGGGGGCGGCTCACCACAGGAGAGGGGCCATTCCCCCTGGCAGCTCCCAGGGCCAGAAGGGTTTGCTCTCAGTCCCAGGCATATTAGTTCTCTGGCAGATGTGCAGGCTAATAACTAAGGAGCTAAATGTCTACTGAAAGAGGATAAAAGACAGGAAGCCAGGGAGGTGCTGTATGACACTTCACAACAAAACACACAGGAATGAATAGAATCACAGAATGGCTTGGGTTGGAAATGATCTTTAAAAATCATCTAGTCCAACCACCCTGCCACAGGCTCAGACACCTTCCACTATATGAGACTTCTCGGGGCTCCAAACAACCTGGCCTTGAACACTTCCCGTGACAGAGCAACCAGAACTTCTCTGGGCAACCTCTTGCAGTGCCTCACCACCCTCAGCATAAAAACTTTCTTCCTTATGTCTAATCTAAATCTACCCTCTTCCAGTTCAAAGCTATCTCCTTTTATCCCGTCTCTAAAGGCCTTGGTAGAACTGCCCTGCTCCAGCTTTCTTTAAGTCCCCATTAAGTTTTAGAAGGCTACAGTAAGATCTCTCTGGAGCCTTCTCTTCTCCAGGCTGAACAACTCCAACTCTCAGTCTGTCTTCACAGAAGAAGTGCTCCAGCCCTCTGATCATGGGCATAGTTCTCACACCATCCCCACAATCCCCCTTTCCTTCTGGTGCTCCAGTGTGCAAACCTGGCAAGGGACCTGATGCCCATCATGGGACTTCAATATTCTTTTGCTCAAAAATCTGAACAATAAATAACATCATGAGTGAGGGATGTCACTCACAGTGCAAAAGATGCTCCACAAGTGAATGTGAACTCAGACAAGCACGCCACACCTCCTCAATGCTGCTGACAGCCAGTCTGTGCTCACACATATTACCACAGCAGTTAATTCAGTTAAAATGTGAGCTTGTTTGTCTTTACCAAAAGGAAAGGCACCACTGGTTTTGTGAAAGTAAAAGCCCAACTGTCTGGATACAGTTACACTCCTACAAAGATACTTAGTAGAAAGCAGAAAATTTGGAAGATTTGCTGCAGATACAGATTTTCTCACTTCTTTATGGGAATAGGGTAGAGCAATAGAATTAAATTGATCTCTGAATCTAAACCAGTGGAGATACAGCAATCTTTCTTTTTCATGATGAAGCACAGCAATCTTTGTCCATAGATACACCCTTTAGACCCTTGCATGAACTTTTGACACAGTACTTTTGGGAAATCTCAGCCTTTCCTCAATTTCATCTTTTCTTGTCACTTTAGTCTGTCTAGCTTTACACTACAGAGGAAGGAAAGACCACAGAGATCTCTATTTTCTTGAACTGCAAATTATTTTCTGAGGTCCTAAAGATTTATACCCTATAGCAGCTGCGAGCCACCAGAGTCTCAGCAGCCATGGTCACAGGAGAGATTCTCCAGCGTTTTCCAGCTCAGAAACTGAACAGGTACAACTGACTTTATATCTCTTGAAGCACAGCTATTCAATAAAATTAATGTTTCTAACTTTCTTTTCACTTGTTTAATCTGTCCCAATTTAGTTCTGACTTAGCCAACTGCAAAATCTCCGAGTACATACGTAATAAAATAAACACAGCAATTCACATTAACAAATCAGCATTTGCAAAAATAGGAATGTTATAACAGCAGCTTAGCTCCTATCCAAATTCTCATGTAAAGCTCCAAAGAAACGCAGCAATCAGGATTATCCTGAGGTCCTTTGGGCTTAGTAAAGAATGACATTCTCACAATGCTTTTACTGTATTCTAAATGTTGCTCTTACTCTGCATTAGAGCAGGTTAAAATCTTTCAGCCAAACATTCTAGTCAACAATCATCCTTCTTAAAAGCATGCAACAGTGGAACATTATGAGTTTTGGCTATCGCTGCAATATTTCAGCTACATTTCTATTGAAAACATATTTTTTGTTGGCATTATTGTGGATGTAGGGCCCCCATAAGCTTCTGCAATGTATTCTAAAGAAGGGAAAAGAGAAAAAAAAATTAAGGAAAACAGCTTTTTGAATAAAGAGCACCAGCAGGCCATGAGGCTTTCAAGGGCTACTGTGCTGAGGTCACCAAGCACTCTCTTTCTTTTTAGAGATATAGCATGCATAATAGCTTACTACCTATAGCTTGCAATACAATGTCTTCAGCAAAATATTTGACAATGGACCTTACTTTCATAAGAATCTCCTCAAGATGTTGGGGCTGCCCAAGCCCCCAAATTTAGGCATGGTCTTAATAGTCCTCTGATACTGGACCACCTGGGAGCAAGAATTACCAAGACAGAGAAATTTGGGGAGAATTTGTAACTTTATGTAGAAATAAAAAACCTGGAAAGGAAAATTAATGATAAAGTCCACTTGCTGTTGATGACCAGGAAATCATAAATACAACAGAGTTGTTGTTGGATAAAGCAGTGCAGTATTAGTAAATGAAAATGCCTGTAAATGTTCTGGAAAGGAAATTCCACCTCAGCCTTGCTACAGGTACAGTGAAGCTGTCTTCTCTTCAGGGATGGAAAGGGGCCAGTAGAGGAAGGACTTTGTTTCCAACACACCCTGGCATTTACATTCATAATTAAAATGCCCTCCTCTAACCTATTTAGCTCATCTTTCTCTGAATGATCTGCCTTCCTTTGCCTCTAGGGCAGACTGACCTATTTCATTTTTCAAAGACTCTCCCAAGGAACTTTATCTCACAACTTCATGCATCTTCTGTGGATGCTCTGGATGAGTCAGCGATGAGAATAAGGCATTTCCGGGGTGCAGTTCTTTGAAGTTGCCTTAGGCTTCTACCTTACAATGAGAGTAAAAAAGTGTGTCAAATGTGCTTATTCCTGCCCATTGACTGGGAGCCTTCAGTCAGGATACACCTCAGACCAGGTGTCTACTTGACTTCATTATGATTTCTGCAGTCATGAAGTAGACTTCAAACACTATTCTGTCTCACTGGGAATAACATGGAAGAAACAGTATTATGACCATGCAAGAAGAAAACAGGATCATGGCAAAGTCAGGAAGCCCAGTCTGATGGTCATGGTGCAAGGAAACACAGTTATAGATCCATCACTAAATGGTGATACAGAAAGAAATGGGAGAACGTTTGCCAAAGCCCAGACATGGCCCTCATGGATGGAATCAGCAATAGTTGCAGCAATAGTTGCAGTGTTTGTTTCAAAAAACACTCTGCAGGCTTG